GACCCTTCGGAGGCCCTGCTGTCAGGATGAAGGCCCACATTTCCCCCTTGGTGCCCAGGCCCTGCTGATGTCTCCAGCCCCAGCCCTCTCCACCTCCCACAGGAGCGCTACTCTCCTGCCAGCTGAACCATGCCTGGACGTGCCAAGGCGCTGGGCCTGGAGCACAGGTCTCCTGTACACTGGCGTTGCTGTCAGTCTCCTCTTCCTTCCTACAAACACTCAGTGACCATCAGTCCCAGGCAGCCCTGTCCTGAACACACAGAGGCTCCGAAAGTGGCTGAGGGCATGTATGTGGGTGTGTACGTGTGCCCATGTGTATATGTGCACATGAAATAAGCATCCACACAAACCCAGCCTGACCCCCTTTTGCTGGGCTGGCTCTTCCCCCTTCACTCATGCCTCCGTATCCTAAAGGAAGATTTACTGAGCATTTGCTTGGTGCCAGGCACTGTTCCAGGCCCCTGGATACAGCACTGACTAGAGATCCCTGGAGCTTCCCTCTTGCATTGGAGACAGAAAGCAAACAAAAAGCATGGTCAAGAAGTCACTTGCACCGCAAGGTAGAAGGTTCTAAGAACTACAGGAAACAGGTGAGATGAGCCCAAGTGCTGGGATGGAGGACCTGCACGTTAAACAGGTGGTCGAAGCAGTCCTCATTAAGAAAGTGACAGTTGAGCAAAGACTAGGAGGAGGTGAGAGAGTGGGCCAGGCAGGTATGCGGGGGAGAAGCGGCCCGTGCACAGGCCCTAGGGTGGGAGTGTGCCAGGGGAGAGCAGCAGGGTGGGCAGAACAAGCCAGGAGCGAGGGGAGGAGAAGGCAGGGAGGCAACAGGGGATGGCGCGTACCCCACAGATGGCACTCGATTACCCCTCCCCAGAGAAAGGAAGCCAGCACTTTTTCCGAGCCCTTATCTGATGCTGTGGTCAGAGGAGCCAGCGCGGGCAGGGGTGAGGCTGCAAAGCTCCGCACACACATCGGAGGAACCTCAGCGGGGCCTCGGAGCAGCTGACATCCGCTCGGCCTGCGGCTTCTTCCTGTGGCTTCTGCATCTCTGGTTGCCCCACGGCTGCTATTTTTGCTCCTGTTGGGGGTTCTATGCAGGGCTCTGCTGTGGACAGTACTGGGGGCCACTGGGCTTGGCCCCTCTTTGGGTTTGCTCCGCTCAGAGCAAATGTCCTAAGTGTCTTCGGGGACATTTACTGTCCGGCAAGTGGGAAAGAAGAAGGCGCTGGCTGTCGGTGTCATCTTGTCACCCCTCACGGCCCTCCGAGCTCAGAAGGGTCAGGTGGCTTGTCCGAGATCACACAGCCAAATCAGACCACAGGCTGAGGATTATAATCCAGTCTGTCTAGGTCTGAAGGCACTTAATCTGCAAGGATCTCTGCACTTTCTGCCCAAATTAATGTTCCCAAGCAACGATCCTGTGCTATCCAGGCTTCCAGAGGCGGGAGGATAGAGACGCATCATCGCGGGTGTGCCCCTCAAGGGCATCTCAGGACTGCTGGGGAGGACTTGACGGGTGGGCACAGGAAAGGGTCCCTGGCCCAGACGGTTAGAGGTGGGACGGAGGCAATCAGAGAAGGCTTCGGGGAAGCAGCGATGCCACGCTCTGTCTACAAGAATAAGCAGGAGTTTGAGGGATGGAGGAAACCCTGCTTCTAGACCAAGGGGCTGCATATACAAAATCGAGAAGCATGACAGCTTGATCAGTGGGAAGGGGGCTTTCGGAAGCAGCAGGGCAGTGGTTCTGCCTGGCAGGGAGGAAGCAGCTTGCTGACTTCAGACACTGAAATGAGACCTGTGCCCCAGGTGGGCAGATAGAGGGTATCCAAGCAGATCCCGCAGGCCACATGGGATGTCCAATCCAAGGCTATAAGGTGGGGCGGGGTTCACAGAGACACCACTGGCTGCTGTGAGGCGAGGAGATTCCACGGGGGAAGGTGGAGCATGGAAGCCTGGGGGAGGCTCCCAGGTGAAGGGCGGAGAAAATGGTTGTGCCCTGAAGGTGGAGCCAGCAGGGAATGAGGCACCTGCAGGGAGTGGGACAGAGAGGGGAGTCAAGGATGCCTTAAGCCAAGGAGTGGACAGTCCTGGTGCTCACCAAATGGGCATGATGATGGAGGGCATGTCCGGGGGAGGGGTGTGAGTGAAGACAAGGACCTCTTAAAGCCACTGTCTCCTTCACATGAACCCTCTTGGGTGAGGACACGCAAATCAAAGCTGCCTTTCCATATGACTCCCTGACCCTTGAGGGGCTGCTGCTCCTGTGGCTCCACTGTTCTGCACAGGGGGTAAGCCCCAGAGAAGGTGAGTGAGTGCATCGCCTACCTCAGAGCCAGAAATCAAGAGAGCGAAGCCCGCCGATCCAGGCCCACCTGATCCCACTCCCGGGCTCAGCCCAACACACAGCGGGAGGAGACCCCATGCCCTCCCTGGGAAATGGCCTCCAGGGTCTGGCAGAAGCTGGAAGCCACTCCCGGTCCATGATATGCCAGGGCTTCGTATGCGATTGTCCACACACGGGAACATTTGCCAGACTGAACAGAGAGAGATGGGGCCACCCGGGCCGCCCTGGGGTCCTGCTGAGGCCATTGGGGCTGCCGGCTGCTGTGGCAGAGCTGCCTCCTGGGGCTCCCAATTTCATTAATTACTGAATAGTAGGGTTTGTGAATGCACAAGGCAGCAGGGAGTGGAGTCCTCACGGATGCCACTGACCGAGGAAGGAAATGAATTTCAAACATGACGCTCACCGTCCCCGGCAGGTGCCACCACAGCCCTGGTTTCCAGCATGGAGTAGAACAGTCGGGGTTGGTGGGGACAGCCTGAATTACTTTTCTGAGAGAATCAGAGACCAAAAGAAGGCAAAGAACTTACCCAAGATCACAGAGCAGTTACATAGCAGGACACACATATATAGCCCCGGCCTCCCACTCCCTGGGCACCTTCATTCTTTCCATAAATATTCAGTGGGTGCCCCCTGTGTGCAAGACCTTGTGCCGGCAGACACCTGGGCCCCTCTCACAGGCTCCCGGGTCCCCTCACCAGGAGGGGAGCACATCATTATTTACTAAGCAGCAGCAATGTGCTTCCTAGATCTTATCCCATTTAATCCACCCAACAGTCCGCCGTTCTGTAGGCAAGGAAACCCCAGCTCAGAGAGGTGAGGCGACCTGCAAGGTCCCACAGCAAGCAAGGGCAGGGCCAGGGCTCAGAGCCAAGTCTTAAACATGGGTTCGGCTTCTGTTCACCATGCCTGGGGTGTGAGGGGGGACACTCCAGCCACCCTCCCTCCCAAAATCACCTCCCTGCAAGGCCGTGCTCCCCGGCCAGCCCCGGGCTCTGAGCAGGCACTGGTTCTGTGACTGGCTGTTCTCCCGAGACCCAGCAACGCAACGCTGGTGACTAGTACTCAGTACGCTGCTCAGAAAGTGTCCGAAATGAGAGTCAGTTCTGTTCCAAGACAGCCAGTGAGTCCCTGTTAATCCCTCTCCCAGTCAAGAGCCCATGAAAGTCACCAGAGAAAGTCCTATCAGCCAGGGCCGGGAAGCATACTGTCTGTCGCCTTACAGTCGCGCTCCCTGAGAAAAAAAGCAGAACACAGGGTCTCTGGCTATAAGCACAAGAGGAAAGCTCCCCAGGACACACACACACACACACACACACAGTGTGAGCCATGCAATCCTCTTCCTGAGCACAGCTGGATGTTCTGGGTCATTCATTCATTCATTCATGCACATTTACGGAGGTCCTACTTAGTAGGCAAAGTGTTAGGCTGTGTGTATGTGTGCACATACAAGCATATACACACATAATCATCCTAACAGAGGGAAGTAGGTATCGATGTTCCCATTTTATGGATGAGAGTAAGTCTTGCGAAGCTCAAGAAGCTTGCGCTCTGTCATTAATTGTATTTGGGGCCCAGTGGGGATTTGAAACCTAACCCAGACCCTGGTACACAGTGGGCACTCAACAGGCTGGCTGGCTCCTAGCCTCACAGCAGACCTGGAGGCCTGTGGTCTTTGCTCTTAGACCCCGTGTGGAGAAAGTGGAGATCACCCAGGGGACACAGCAGCCCATTTCTTGGTCTCTCTTGGTTTGCCCGGGGTTTTCCAGGCCTGACTGCGTCATTTCCATTTCTGGGACGCACGTGCATGACGCAGACTTTCAACAAGGGCTGTGGGAAATCAGCACCAGAAGGGGTCAGGCTCCTGCTGCGCTGGGTGCAGCCCTGTCCACTGCGACAAGCCCCGCCCCCAACTCAGACAACTCCCATCACAAAGACAATCTCTAGCTGGGGACGACTGGAAAATGGCATTCATGTTAGGTTCCTGCATTCAAAATCTGTCACCTATTATGTGTAGATGTGCTTGTCCTCAAATCTGTGATGATGTCCTTCCTCATTTTTTGCTGTCCTTTCTCCCACAAAAATGGCAACAGGTGCCCTCAACTGGTTATTTTTCAATATCCTTAATGGACAAAAGAAAAAGGTGGCACTCACCAAATGTGGGGAGGAACTTTTATTGATTCCACAAATTCCAAAATCCAATGGAAGAGGCAGTTCGAACTTCATTCCTGGTGACGTCCCCAGCTACTCCTCACCCCGCCTTCCTTGAAGGGTCCTTCCCACGCCTCACCCCAGGTATTTTCTGGGCTCCTACTCACATGCTATCCCCAGCATTGCTTTGGAGTGGGCTGCAGTCCCTACCCACACTTGGCCAGGCCCACTGCAAGGTATGCTGAATGAGTGAGTGAATGAATGACTGAACCACCAAATGCTTTCTGAGCACCCCAGGCACCTAGGATGCCCTGGCCACCAATGCCCTGCTGTCCAGAGCCAGCTTCAGGCCTCCTGGACCTTCTAAAACATCTCCATTCTACAATGTGACAAGCACCAGTCCAGGGCCCTCTGCCTGTTCCCACCCAGGCATCGTCTATCTCTTCATCCCACAGCGACGATCTGACCACCTCCACCCCAGGCGATGGCAGGCACCCCTGATTACCTTCTGCTGAAACACACCTGCATGCACCAGTGTCTTGCAAGGAGAAGGAGCCCGAGTCTCATTCCACAGAAGCCCAGACAGTGAGAGAACGCGCCCACGACAGCCTCTGTGCAATTCTGCTGCATAATCAGCAGAGAAAGAGAAAAAAATGCCAGAAATAGCAAGCTTTGTAAGCCTCCTGACAACTCTTGGTCCTCTATTGGCTGAAGGCCCAGCACCCCCACCCCCATCCCATTCCTGTAAGGTGAAATGGAAAAACCTGTTATTTAACCTCTCTTATCAAAATCCATCTTCTATCCCAATTTGGGCCATGTGTTCAGAGCTCCTGGCAGCAGCAGGGGAGGCAGCCTGTGTATACAGCCCAGCATCACTGGTGGCTAGAGAGCCATCCCCTCTCACCCACCGCCTGGGGCATAGGGCAGTGGGTGTTGAACGGGAAAGGCTTCCCGAAGGACATTGGGTGGCACCTGTCCGTGTGTGGAAATCATGTGCCTTTTCATTCAGCAATTAGACTTCTGAGCACCCCTCCTGCGGAAATGCCTGTACTCGTGTGCTCAATGCGTGCCCATAGGCGTCTGCACCGAGAATGAGAGGCAAGGCAAACGTCTAAAATCGGGTCGAGGGAGTGGACTGAAATACATCTATTCTGTGGAATAGGATGGAATGAGGAAGGTCTGTACCTGCTGACTGGGAATCAGTTGGGAGAAAGTCAAGGGCACGACCCTATTTGTGTAAAAACAGTAACTGAATGTGTGTGTGTTTGGATATGCACTGTGAAAATTCCCAACTGGTAATAGTGGCTCCCCGGGGAGTAGGAGAAGGAGGTATTTTCAGTTGCTTTTTTTCTCTCTTCTTTCTTTTTTTTTTAATTTTCCACAAGCATGTATTATATTTGTAATTTTAAATGAAAACACAAGGGCCTCCCCTGGTTCCTTCCCACTCCTCTGAAGGCAGTCGGCCAAGGGCCAAGGTCACCTACCACCGACTGGCCCGAGCTTGGGACAGAGCGGGCACTAGGGGTCCCCCTGCAGGGTCCTTAGTTTCCACACAAGAGCAGTGAGCCTGGGGCTCCAAAAAGAAGGCAGATTTTTAAGTAAAACAGAACTGGGTTCAATCCCAGCTCTGCCTGCTGGACCTGTTAACTTCCCTGCGTCTCAGTTTCTTCATCTGTAAAATGTGGATCATAGACCTCTGACGTGCCATGTACTGTGCTGGGCACTACTGAACCAATTTTAATTTTTTTTTTTTTGATATATCCGAAACACCAGAGGCTGCTGAGGAAGCATCGCAGATCAGAGAGCCTCCAGGACTGAGTAAGAGGAGTTCTGGGGAATCATCTCACTACTGAGCACTTGTAACAATAATAAATGAGGTGCAGAGAGAAGGGCCTAGGAGACAGCCAACACCGAGTGATAAAAGGCTGGTACCCGTGTGTCTGTGTGACGGGGCAGTGAGGGGATGAGAAAAGGTTCCAGGAAGGAAGAAGTCTTGCTTCCATGCCTCTGTACTTTTCTCATGCTGTTCCCTCTGCCTGGAATGCGCTTGCCCAGACCTTCACAAAACGGACTCTTCATCCTTGGTTCCTACACATATATCTCCTCCCTCCCCAGAGAGGGCGGCTCTGATTTCACCCGCACCGGACTTATCTTCGTGGCACGCTCCTCCGGCTGATGGCTTCTGGTTGTTTGTTTTGATGGTTTTTATTTCTTTGTCTATTGTGCATCTTCCTCGCGATGCTGTGAACTCTTTGATGGCCAGGACGACCTGTCTCATTCATCTTCAGGCCCCACCTCCTAGCACGGGGCCTAACACACAGTAGGTTCATAACAAACAGGAAGTACACATAATCCGTAAGTCCAAGGCCAAGAGCCAAGCACACAGAGCTCGTCTGAAGGAAAGGGAGCTCCGCATTTTGCACTGTGACAGAAAGATGGATGGAAATTTCAGACATACTGAAGATTTGGAAACACACCCACAAAGCTGGATGGGTGAGAGAAGAAATCACCCATGAGTACTTATCTAAGCTTAAGGTGGAAAAAGATGTTGTAGGCCCAATTTCATGTGAACCAGGACATTTATTTCTTCATTGCAGCATTACTTGTAAGAAAATGGAAGTGACCATAAAACCCACTGACGGGGATCGGTTAAATAATCACAGCTCTCTGCACAATGGAATACTAGGCAGTCATGAAAAATGACCGGCGTGTACTGATACAGAGAGAGGCCCAGATTTGCTTGTTGAATGCTGAACTGGCTCACTGGACACCAGAAACTCTGATAAGCAAAAGATATAACTGATAGTTACAGAGAAAGCATGAAGGTAAAATTCCCTCGATTATCACTTATTCATTCACTCAACAAACACTTTCTGTTCCTCTGCCTACTCCCTATTCCATATAGGGCAACATGTGAACTGTCCTTGCCCTAAAAGACATACTTCCCAGCTCACGTAAGTAGGTGAGAACTTATGATGTAAGGGAGGCAGTGCTCACAGCTATGGCCCCAGGGCCATCAGCTGACAGAGGACTTCACGAAAAGGGTGCCATTCAAGCTGGGATTCGAAGGAGGGGCAGAGTTGGAAAGAGAGCAGGGAGGAAGCATGTTCAGAGGCAGAGGTGGGACAATAAGGGACAAGTGCCTGCACTCTCCGTCACTCACTAAATACGACCAAGTGCAGGAAGCGAAGTCCGTGGGAGCTGAGCCTGGTGACAAGAGAGTCTGGACGTGATTCTGCCACATGTGCTGGAAGGAGGAATTCTGGGACCATGCTGTCACAGGTGTGCAGTGACAGAGCAGCGTCCTGGCCATGAGGCACTCACCCTGAGAGGGTGCTCCCCCCCCCATGGGGCAGGCAGGGCTGGGCCAGGTGCACCCACCGGCAGGCTGAGGCAGCAAGGCAAACCCCAGTGTGTGGGTTTCTTCATTCTGCACCATTTGGGCCCGGTACCCAATGCTGGGTGGAGGGGGTCCCAGCTCCACAGACCCTCGGCTCGGCTCCTTCTGGGGAGAAGCCAGGGAGGGGCTGTGCACCCTGATGGAGCTCAGCACTTTTTAGTTTTAGTTTTAGTTTTTGGATTTTGAGGCAGTTCGATGGTTCAAAACAAAGAGAGATGACTCAGCTTCCTGTGGAGAAGCCACGGTCCTTTGGAGAAGATATTTCTGTTTTAATGCTTCTCTCATCTGGGCCAAAGAGGCAGCTCATCCAGGCTGCCTGTTTTCTTGTTCAGCTGTTCCCAGACGGAGGAGCAGGAACAGCAGCCAGGCTCGGGGTGTCGGACCCCCTGTGTTGGAATCCTGGTCCTAGTCCTACTCACGTAGAGGATCTGGACAAAGTTATACCCTCTCTGGGCCTGCGTTGATTTATCTTAAGACTTCCTTTCAGGCTCTCTGTGTGAAGCAGCCATCGCCTTTGGAAAGGGTCTGGTACAGTGCCTGGTGCAAAGTAGGTGGACAATAAATATCACTCTTCATAACAACAGCCACTGGTGCTAAGGTTCTACTGTCCTAGACTATCTCATTTAATCCCCATTCTGCCCAGCACAAGTTCCCATTTTACAGATGAGAAAACTGAGGCTCGAAGCAATGAGTTGACTTGAGTTTCTATCTTCTTGTTCACCAGGGTCCATGTACATACCCCAGGCCAACTTAGAATTGAATCTGCACAAGCTTTACCTTTCTGTCTGACTCTCTCTGCACCAGCAGCCACATGCCCACCAGTCTCTCACTGTCTTTATCTGCAAAATGGGCACAATGTCTGAGGTTGCTGAAACAGTCTAGTCAAGGCTTGATGAGAATAATTCCATGAAGGGCACAGAAACCTTCAACAATATCACATCATTGCTTCCTCTGGGACCAGGAGAGGCCAAACAAAAGCTTAGGGGCGGTGGAGGCAGGAAGCTGTTTGGAAAACTGCTCACAAGTCTAGAGAAAACCCAGAAGCTGAGACAGAGATGTGAGCTCACACACAGAAATAGAAAAGGGCTTTTAAGTGAGCCACCATTCAGATGGCCACCCCACATCATGATAGTAACACGGGGTCTTTCAAACCTTTATCTGGTAACTCACGTAATTTTTTTTTTAAACTTGGTGCAGGTGAACACAAGGGAACCCGACAGTCAGAACCCAAGTTTCTACCCCCTCCCCACCCACCCCGAAGCATATGCTGACAGAGCAACCTTAATAGAAACTGACTAATTTTAAACCCTGTGATTACCAGGGTTGATTTCCATGGAACCTTCCTTTCACAGCACCGAGAACCGCTCACGGGCGGTAATTGCCAAGTTCAATTTTAGCTCTGTCATACCCAACCATCGGTGCTAACTAAGGTGGCTGCTTCCTTGCCAAGTAAGCTGCCTAATTTCACAATATTGTGATGCCTCCGTCGGCACCTGTAAGTGCTGAGAAACTACAAGCTTCTATTAAACAAATCTCAGCCAAGGGAAGTGACTGAAGCCACTCTGTGTCCCTGAGGTGCCCCCGGGACCCTCGTGCCCACTGGGACATGGTGGTTCTGAACCCCAGGTGCCTCCTCGCTGAGCAGGCCGAGCACCACAGGCCATGCTGCGCGCCTGAGGACGCACCGAGCCTTGTCTCCCTTCGTCCTCTGTCATCACCCCCTCCATCCCCACAGTCCTCCCAGAATTCGAATTCACACAGATGGTCAAACCAAAGGGGCCCTCATCCATCCTCCCACCCCGCTACCCTGCGGGGCGTATGCACAACGCCCAATGCCAGCTTCATTTTGTCAAACAGCCCCACTGGCCTTGGCATCTACCCTATTAGTAAGCAGCTTCCAACACCCCCACCCCAACACCCCCACCCCAACACACACACACACACACACACACAAGCCTGCCTGGGTTCTGACAGCAGAACTGTACTCTGGGCAAGCCCGGGTGTATTGGGGCTGACTTTGTGCTGACTTCAGTTTTTACCCAGAAACTGACAGGAGCTAGCTGTGACCGGGCAGAGGGATGGGAACTCTGTCCTCAGGGGCCCCCTACACAGCAGGCAGGCAACGGGTACGGTATGCCCACACCTTCCCCAGGATCAGCCAGAGAGGCAAGGGACCAGGGTCTCAGGCCCCTTTTCACATCTGGGAGACTGAGACCTGAGAACCGCTACG